GGAAATATTATAGTGAAATTGTTTTACGTTGCGTAAAGATTCTTACAAAAATTATATCGACAAGTCAATGAAAATGATAGCCAGAATATATTAGTAAGCAAAATTTGATAAAGAATTAACTGTCGTCAAATTCATGTTACACATGTATATTTTCTGAAGTTTCAACGTCAATGAAAAACATAATTTACGGAGTAATATGGGAATCGGCCTTGCTCTATATTTGTAGGATCTACATGTATTTCAAAGTCATTGAATTCTAGTCTTAAAATAAACCATTCATTTTATTAAGCACATGATTAATTTCCTAGAAAAAAAAAATATATGCAGTTTCAAATTAATAAACTACGGTTGTAATTACAGTTTGAGTGTGAAAGTCTCTTTTTTTAATATAATTATTTTTTATATACTGCAGTTTTGTTATTTATTCAGAAATAATTGTCACATAAGAATTGTAAATATGCTGTACATGTAACATGTCTAACACTTTTTTCTCCTAAAAAATGAAGTGCATCATTAAATTTCAACTGCCTTTATATTACTGACATTGTTTGTTGACATACTGTGTAATGACTAAGCTCCGCCCATTAAATTATTAACCCCGCCTACTGGGACTGCTGGGACTGCTTTTTGGGACCGCTGTGACTGCTTTCTGGGACCGCTGGGACTGCTGGGACCGCTGTGGGACTGCTCTGGGACTGCTTTAGCAGTCCCACAACAGTCCCAGAAAGCAGTCTCCGGGACTGCTCTGGGACTGCTATCTGTCAGGTTGGGTCTGGTTGGTACTGTAGGTAGTGCAGTAATTGAAGTTCATGACAGTGAAACGCCCTTTAAAGTTTGCAATTCCTCTAATAAACTACCAATTTAATGCAGTGTATTTTTTTATTATTATTTCAAGAGTATAGATATGTATATCTATATGTACTTCATTTTTTTGTGTCAATAAAATGTAGTAATTCATGTAAAATCACTTGTATTCGTCGTGGGTTTTAGATTTTCTTGGATTCATTTGATGAAAAAAAAAAATGGTTTGTGGTGTTTGATTTAATGGTTAAACACATGTTACTGTGGTTTGAAATTTTAATATTTTCATAGAGGACAAGATTTTATGGGTCTTTGATACATGTGCCACAAAAACAATGATATATAAACCCCCACCAAAACTTTGTGATTTCAGACTATTTAAACCTTAATCAGTTTCCAACGACCTTTTAGGCTTAGTAGACTATAGATTATACATGTATTGTTTTACGTCACATTTGAGAATTTTTTTTACTCACACAGAGACGTCACCATATACCGGTCTTAAAATGTAGACCTTTACTCGACACTCAGTGCCTTTGAGCAGTGAGGGATCTTTTTTCGTGCCAACGCCTACCGTGACACAGGACCTTGGTTTTTAAGGTCTTATCCGAAAGACCGCAACTTTCACTTCAAACGCTGAGCCCTTGGAGAAGGAACATTTGCAACCTTTTTTTATTGACTTAGGTCAATTGCAGCCAGGGTTTGAACCCACGGCCTTCCGATAAAAAATGCCTGAATATTAGAAAAAGGCACAATGCGATATTAATCTGTTTGAAACGGAAAGCGGTTCGACTTAGGAAGCATTTGAAACACCTTATCTCACCCTTCAAGTTTGATTTGTTTTTTATGACAAGACTTCAAGTCCATCTTTTTTTTCTCCTTCATATTTCTACAAACAGCAGTTGTTTATATATTTTTGCCGGGACCTTTTAAAAGTTTTAGACTAGGTGATAGAATTTATTGCAAATTTTCAACAATTTCCTTTCCTCTACATGTAGAAAATAATTTTTGAAGACAAAATCAGCTGATATGATGGCAAAATTATGATTATAAAAATTGCAATAAATATTTTTTTCGTAAATTTTAAAAGGTAATAGGTAGTTTACATAAAAATGTCTGAATTGTTTCCGTATAATTAAACAGCTATGGAATGGGGTTTCGGCAGATATATACATATATCTATGCTTTTCCCCATGGGAAACTATTTCCTTAAAAGTTCTAATACCCATTCCATAACATTAACTGAAGAATAAGCTTGTAAAAAAAACATCCGGGTAAAAAAAAAAAGTTTGATTTAAAAGCTGAATAACAATAACTTGAATATCAAATACTGTACTATAGCGAGCTAAATGAACATACGCTCAAATACTTAAAAATATAATTATTTAAATATTTGATTATTATCTTCAGCTCATTTGATTTGCGCAACAAGGCAATTGAGATTTGAATTATTGCACGAATTCACTGAATTTTATTTCATCAATTTTTTTTTCTGAATTGATGCGCACAATAAATATTTTTGTTGTTGTTGTTCTTTTTAGATCATTAATGCAATTGCTGTAATATTTTATAAAATGGATCCTAGCAAATACTGGTACAACAAGGAAACGGGAAACGCGTATTTTTTCGGAATTCCAGAAATAACTACACATCTGCAATTTTTCAAAAATAATCAGTTTATAAATATAAATTCCTTTATAAATTTAAATTCCTTCTCAAGGGAACTATGTTGGGTTGTGCCCCCCCCCCCCCCAAGCACTGAATTTGATTTTCCTTGCCTGAGATCAACTATTTTTACATAGAGTAAAAGGTCTTCATGATTTTTTAATAAGTATTTCTGATATAAATACATATACCAACAAATGTAACCCAAGATCCTACTGAAAGTCCCCCCTCCCATTTTTTTCTGACGTATATAAGCCTTTAATTAATACCCCCTTCCCTATCAAGAAATCTTTTGAATTATTTGCCTGCAAGGAAATGTGGGAATTAGATGTATTTATTCCTTCCTTGCCTTCACAGTTTAAAAATTCCTGAATCCGCCAATTATTTTTTTTATTATTGTAATCTATCATAGGGTTTATTCAATTAAGCATGCGTATTAAAGATATTAAAGATAATAAAACAGGCAATATCATCTATGAGCAGTGGCAGTTGGCAGTAAGCATTGAGCAGTTGGCAGTAAACAGTGAGCAGTTGGCAGTAAGCAGTTGACTGTCGTATATGGAATTCCATGAATAGAAAACATAAAAAATAGTGGGAATGTATAACGATTGTGATTTTATCATAACATGTGATGCATGTATAATACAGAAGAGTTACCGACAAATTAAACTCTTCTCAGCCACCACCCACTGTATGCACATTTGGTCCCTGGATGACCTTTTTGTACAGAGATCCCTTCCAGTTGGTTCTGGAATGAATGACACTTACGCTAATCGATGATAGCAATTAGACAATAAAACCTTTTGAATGGTAATAAGCAGGACATACAGTGATATTTCCCTAGTCTTTGATGCAATGCTTTGATCAACTGGGTTATGGAATTTCTTGGAAACAAACAATAAAGAAAATCGAGCAAATAATTTAAATATTGAAATGAATGTATGTCACTTTTTGATATATGGATGTAAGTAATAGTCAAAGGTGTGGTGATTTCATAAAGCTCCATTACATATTCCCTCCATCTTAATACCATTTTCACAGCAGCTGTAATCCACATGGGATCAAATCTTCCATGCAAATAATGTAGAAAAATTGCACTGTCTTTTATGTAAATTAAAGCTTAATTCATTACAAAAAATGTGTGTAAAAATCTATTCTATATTTTGAATAGGTAACGTAAACTTTTTTTTTCAAATTACATGCAATGTACCTGACCTGTATTCGTGCAAAATTCAAAGTGCACTCTGATATCTTAATTACATTTCCAAAAATTTTCCTTAAGACTCTTTGCAAATTTGAAAAAAAGTTGAGTCACGTTCTCGTGAACTGCAGATGAGTAAGAATATTTCCATAGTGACATAATTGACGTCAAAAAATAGTGGAAATTCAACTCGCTTTTTTTTTTTTTAAATTATAGTTAATGAATGACAAAAATATGTGGCAAGTCATAAGAAATATAATGAAAATATAAGATATGAACTTAATTTTTGAGAATTCATGAGGTACAGACTTAGAATAAGACTTAGAATAAAGTTTCAAACGGTGCCAAGGATTTGTATGAAAATGAATTAGTAAAGTATTGAGAGGGCATAACATGCATAAGGTTTGTTCAGGATAATTATACTTCCTGTACCAAGTCTCTTTTCTCATTTTGATAGTCGCAATTGCTTCTTAAAAAAGTGGAGTTGACCTTTATGAATTTCGAGGTGTTTTTTTTTTAATTCAGTCGCTATCATTTTATTTAAATAAAGTTTATCTTTTTTTTTTTAATATTCCCACACGGGCCACAGGTAAGTGGGTGTCTTGATTAATTAACGTTCCTACGCTCTTTAAATGTATATATACCTCGCGGCGCAAAGTCAAAGTTGGATTAAAAAAATCTCTTTCCACCAACGTCTTTAAGTTTTGACCACTTATATTATAATTACAGGGCATTTATTTTAGATTTAAGTCTGTTTAAAAACGGTGCCCCAGTCTTGAAAAATGCTATAATGTCTCAAGGAAGAGTCGCAATTAACATTTCTCAGGACAATAAATTAGAAAAGATACAGAAAAATCTTTGAAAAAATCCTCAGGTTAAAAAAAAAAACATTAGGAATACATGTGATTTAAACGTATTTTATTGAGTAATTCAATAAGGATTGGGCAACAGGCAAAGCCTATGCACACCCTCTCCTTGTATTATAATAGGTAAAGACATAGACATTGAATAATAATACTTGAACAAGGTAATAAACTTGCTAATAATAGAAAATAAAGATTCACAATCAAGTATTATTCATCAGTATCATAAAAAAAGATGATAACCCCCTAATTGTAAACATATTATTTCCATACTGTTCCAGCTTTAGAAATAGAAGTGAAAATACATGTACATGTTCATGTAGTATACAACTTTAAAGAAATAAAATTTATAAAGAGAAAAATATTTTTACGCTTTAGAAATTAAATCGGGATCGAGATGACGTAAAATATTTCTCTACTTTTGTTTTTTTTTTTTTTCAGGAAAAAATGAAAAAAAGGCCACACAAGGAAAAGTCAGTGAAACGATTATAATCAGATAATGGCAACAACTTTGCCAAAATCGGACTGTTCATGTGACTCTTGGACAAAAAATTCAAGTAGTTGTGAATGGACCCCTCATTTCGTTGACAAACTTGGCGTTCGCTTTTTCAAAGAGGACGTATTGAAAATTATATTAAATAGGTGGTGCTTACTTCGTCTCTCAAGCGATTCTATTACAAAAGTAGATACTCTAGTAAGTGCCTGTGATTTTGAATTTGATTACGAGTCGATAGAAGAATTTCCCGAGAGAAAGGGCACATATGAGAAACTGAGGAAAAAATGGAGTCCAGATGAAAATCAGATGATGATGTTGAGTTTAAAAGAAAACGAAAGAATGGTGAATCTGCATTGGTAAGCATGTCTCGAAAGTTCTATTCTCACTTACAAGTCAGAGTTATCTTTCTTTGGTAAGACAGATTGCCAATATTTCATACCACTGTGATTCTCTGTTGTTGTAACCTTTCCCATTAGTAATAGTGCAATTGTAATGGGAGAGGAGAAAAATGCAGCGGACCAGACTGGGATTCGAACCCGGGCCCCCTGAATCTCCAGTCAGGTGCTCTAACAACTGAGCTATCTGGCCACCGGCGATCGAACCCGTCTGACCGCCACATTCCTCCCTCCTTAAAGGAATTCGGCCCCCGAAGACACCAACCCAGGCTCTTCCCTGGTAGGTCTTTCACCTGTCACTTCCAGGGCATGGCACGGCACCAAATGTAATGGGAGAGGAGAAAAATGCAGCAGACCAGATCGGGATTCGAACCCGGGCCCCCTGAATCTCCAGTCAGGTGCTCTACCAACTGAGCTATCTGGCCACCGGCGATCGAATCCGTCTGACCGCCACACAATGTAGCTTGTTTTTCCTCCCAGAGAACAGGTTATGCATACACTGGAGTACTAAAAGTTTCCACCTAAGCATGTTAATTAATTAATTGGAAAAGCTACATGTACTATAGCCATCTAATTAAAATTAGATGTTCCGAATCCGGTACCGCTTCTGAAACATCTAACAACACCCCTTTCTGGGTCATGTCAGAGAGACCTTTCAATTATGAATAAACATAAAAATTTTGGCCAATCAGATTCAAGCTTCTGTATATGATTCTAAAATTAGTTCCACTGCTACATCTTAACATACTGATGCTCAGTAGACTGTGTTACATTGAACATGTTGAATTAAAGTAATTTTGGTATAAATAGAACATTGCGGTATTGTCCACCAATCTGTCATTCTTACCTGAATAATGCAAACAAAAATGCACAAACTATACGTCAGAATATCCCGCACATCACATTTATGTATAGCTCGGTCTTTACCATGCATATTTTGTTTACTACAAAACCCCTCGGGCATTTAGGTTCGGCAGTAAAAAAAGAAATGCATACAAACTATAAGCCAAGATTTTGGAGACGGCGATTTCATTGGGTAATCGAAAGGTCCCTCTGACGTGACCCCGAATGGGATATTGTTAGATGTCTGAGAAGCGGTAGCAGATTCGGAACATCTAAATAAATTTTAATTAGATTGGTACTATACATGTAGATATGTATATCATATAGTCTGGGGAGTAGATTTTTTTTTTAATATTAAAAAGTTTGACTCTCCTCATTTTTGAAGATTTTTTAAAAAAATGTTTATGTGGGGAAATGTTAACTTGGTTAAGTATTTTTAATAAAGCAGTTTTAAATGCACTTATTTTGAGAAACATACATTTAGACAGCTGCATAAACTTTTGAAGTTTTTCTTATATGCACAAGAATTTCATTAAATTCCAAAAGAGAAGTATGCTCTTTCCAATAGAGTAAAGTTTATTTGTTCATTACATGTTTTACTTACTTATTACATATATCCTCTCCATGCCCTGGAGGATTCATGAGGCTGTTTTACATGATTTAGTAAGTCAATACCATACACTTTTTTCGCTTATTATAGGCAAGGATGAAATCCCTATAATACTTAATCTTACTCTGTTTGTGCCAGAAGGAGCATAAGCCTTTAAGCCCTTTTTTTTTATATGTAGCCACTGTTTTGCTGACTGTGTACATAAAACTTGTGACAAGCAATAAAATTAAAAGGTTCACCAAGAAATACAATACATGTAACCATCTGAAATGAAAAGGGGGGGGGGGGGGGGGGGGCTGACCCAAAACAGCTAGTGCACTGTAAAACATGTAACAAATCTCAGAGTCAGGCACTGATCATACAGACTTTTAGGATGCATATCAGCTTGAAACCACTGGAAGGCTGACCTTTTACTAGCAAATATTAGAATGAAAAACATACTAATTATTTTTGCAGGTTGTCTGTTAAACTGCATGAAATCAGCTTTTATCTACACAGTATTATCACAGAAAGGCCTCAGAAAGCAGTGTCAGAATGGAAATACCAGGTCTTATTTGAAAAGTTGCTTCAACTTTTTTGCTTTGATACTTTGTAAGTACATTTACTTCAATTATTGTAAGGGAACTCAATAAATTTAGAACTTGTTTTTGATGGAATTGAGTATGATCTCTAATTGTACTAGAACTTTTAAATGCTACAACCATAAACCAATGCATTTATTAAGCACAAGAGTTATACAATTACCAATTAACTGATGAATTTTCCCCAATTTTCAGGTCATTAACAAATATTTCGAAATTCACCAGATATCTAACCCTTACTCAGAAATGTGATCTTTGGCTGAGACCGTGCATCCAATCTTTCACTCCGAGAAATTTTATTTTAGGACTGTATATATATCTTATTTTTCTTCAATATTGACATTCTTATGAACTTAGCTTTCTTACTGATGTGCTCAACAATGCCCATGGAAGTTTCACAATGATGAGAAAAAGTTCCTTTTAAGGACTGATTTCATCAATAAAACTGTTGAATCATATAATTGTTTTTTCTAGAAGCCAACCATTTATTGGGACAAAGAAGGCATTAATAATGGGTCACACCATTTCATCCAAAGCTGACATTATCTGTTCTCGATTAGACACTAGATCTGATAGTCCTATTATCTGTGTCTGTGAGGTATGTTCCTTTTTTAGGTCACCTGAGTCACTCAGGTGACCTATTGCTATCTCTTTTCGTCCGTCGTCGTGTGTCGTGCGTCGGTCGTAAACTTTTGAACATTTTCAGCTTCTTCTCTGGAACCAGTGAACCAATTTCAACCAATTTTGGCATATAGCATCTATGGGTGAAGGGGAACAAAAATTTCGAAATTCGTGGCCCCTGCCCCCCTGGGGCCTGAGGGGTGGGGCCAAAACCATCAAAATTAATGCAATCTTTAAAAATCTTCTTCTTTACTCCTGGACATCAAGCAGTCAAACTGTTGGCATGATTGTAATAAGCATTGAGCCGTCTACCAAAATTGTGAAATTCATGGCCCCTGGGTCAGGGGTTTTGGTGCTAGGGCGGGGCTATATAGATCATATAGTGAAAGTGCATTATTTCTTTGAAAATCTTCTTCTCTACTCCTGGGTATTATTGAAACAAATTGAATACATAGTTATGATGAGCAAGGGTGACTCTACCAAAATTGTGAAATTCATGGCCCCAGGGTCAGGGGTTCTGGTGTTAGGGTGGGGCTATATAGATCATATAGTGAAAGTGCATTATTTCTTTGAAAATCATCTTCTCTACCCCTGGGTATTATTGAAACAAATTGAATACATAGTTATGATAAGCAAGAGTGACTCTACCAAAATTGTGAAATTCATGGCCCCTGGGTCAGGGGTTCTGGTGCTAGGGCGGGGCTCTTTTGATTATATAATGAAAATGCATTAATTATTTGAAAATCATCTTCTCTACTCCTGGGTATTATTGAAACAAATTGAATACATAGTTATGATAAGCAAGAGTGACTCTACCAAAATTGTGAAATTCATGGCCCCTGGGTCAGGGGTTCTGGTGCTAGGGCGGGGCTCTTTTGATTATATAATGAAAATGCATTAATTCTTTGAAAATCTTCTTCTCTACTCCTGGGTATTATTGAAACAAGTCGAATACATAGTTATAATGAGCAGGAGTGACTCTACCATAATTTTGAAATTCATGGCCCCTGGGTCAGGGGTTCTGGTGCTAGGGTGGGGCTATATAGATCATATACAGTACTGACCAGACACAACCTAACACCAGAGCGAACCCAAAGCGGACCCCGGGTTCACTTTCTGGGTTCGCTCGGGGTCCGCTGCGGGTCCGTTTTCGGAAATTTTGGGTTCGCTCTGGGTTCGCCTTGGGTGCGCTTCGGGTTCGCTCGGGATCAGCTCTGGGTCCGCTAGAGCGAACCCGGCGTTCGCTTCCTGCGTTCGCTTTATGCACTCATGCGTGAAGCGGACACCGCTTTAATCTTGCCACCAGTAAGCCCCGCCCCTTGTATATTCCAAATACAGTAGTGAAATTGATCATTGTTATTTCTGAGGCGATCGATACATGTGCATGTACAATGGCTGCAACGTTATTGTTGACAACATATAGGAACGATCACGTTACACGAACGATTTCGCAAGATTAATCCTTCAATCACACGATTCTTCATGTTACACGATCATTCACAACTGTTACTGCAAACGCACAATTTTTGTACGCAAAATAGTTCAAAATATTTAGGAGTGGATATTTTTTAGACGAAATAAAGCTTAATTTATTTAATAGATATTTTAGATTAGAAATATTTACTGGTGAAATTCATCGACTTATAAAACTAAAAGAAAAATAAAATATTTAGAAATGAATATTTTTGAAACTACATGTAAATAAGACTTAATAGTCATTTTAGATTACAAATGATTATTTATGTAAATATCAGACTTAGGAAAAATTGTTTTTTTTTATGTTTTTGACATGCAAAACATGTCATTTATGATCGAATGCTGCATTTTCTATCACATGATATACATGTACATGTAGGTTGGTCGTGAAGTTTGATTCAATTGGATTTTATGATATGCAGTAAGGGGGTAGATTTTTAAAAATGGCCTAAAAATGAATTATACTATAATCATCTTTCCATTTATGAATTTCAAAAATCAGCAATCTGTTTTAAAAAATCATTCATTTGCAGAAATGATATATATAAAAAAAATAATAACAAGTATCAGGGATGAAAAGTAACCCCGACAATTATGTCGTATACATTTGCCGACTAAATATATGTAAGTATCGGGATTTGTTTTTTTTTCTTTCTTTCTTTTTTTTTTTTAATATACATTTTTGATGTATTGATATAAAAATACCATGACTACAATCAGCAGTTAACATGATTAACATCAGAGAAAAATCGTTAAACATCTTAAATACGCTTTATCAGTAAAAGTTACGATATTTTAAGAGAATACAATATTGTACAACTTACCATTTTGCTTAGTTACTCCGATAATTAGTTCGTTCAATTATGTAAATCGCGCTTCATTTTTCTTTTTATTTCAGTTAAAAAAAAAAAAGCTAAATCAAGCTATACATTATTTTTTGTAAAAGATTAATCAAATTAGTACCTTAATGTAGTAGTTTGCGATTGGACATATTAGTACATGTACATTTATTCTGTACATTCATTTTTTTTATTTTTATTTTCAGTTAAGAAGATCAATTATTTTGATGTTGATCTGGATTTAAACGATAATGTATATTAGAATTATAAACATAAAATAATTGAATAAAAGCACGTACATATACATAATCTTGTACAGTATCTTGAGATGATGAAATGCTATAATTTATCAGAAACCATTTTTTTTATTTATGTAACAATTGTAATAACCATTGCTTTCTTTTTTATTTCTTTTATACATTAGAGTATGTTTTGTCTGATAAATTTACGCAATATATATTAATGGATTTTGAAAATAAAAAATAAATAAATAAATGTGTAAATATAATATGCTACCTGGATAATTAAAATATATTAATTTATTTTTTTTGATAATGTTAAAATAGTTTCACACTGTACATTAACACGCTTTGCTTGTACAATGTTTTATTTACATCGAATGATAAACTGGCATGCTGATTGGTCGACCCGCTGATTGGTTAACACGTTTTATCGCTAATCCTGATTGACAGCTCTGTTACGCAACACCGAACGCGCGTTCGCTCTCTGGGTTCGCTACTGAATTTGGGGTTCGCTTTCGGCGTTCGCTCTGGGTCCGCTGCGGGTTCGCTCGGGGTCCGCTGCGGGTTCGCTCCGGGTTCGCTATAGCGAACCCCAAGCGAACCCAAAGCGAACCCAGAAAGCGAACCCGGGGTGCGCTCTGGGTTCGCTTTCTGTTAGGTTGTGTCTGGTCGGTACTGTAGTGAAAGTGCATTATTTCTTTGAAAAGCTTCTTCTCTTCTCCTGGGTATTATTTAAACAAATACATGGTTATGATAAGCAAGGATGCCTTTTCCAAATTTGTGAATTTCATGACCCCTGGATCAGAGGTTCTGATGTTAGGGCGGGACTCTATTTATTATATAGTGAAAATGCATTAATGCTTTAAAAATCTTCTCTGCACCTGGGCATATCAGAGGCAAAAAGGGTAAAAGTTTTAATAAGGAAGGGTATTTTTACCAGATTTTTGAACATCAAGACCATTTGGTCAAGTGTTCTAGTCCAGGTCAGGGCTCTATTAATTTGTATTCTACTGAGAGGAGTTATTCCCCTTTGCCATTTACTTGTGATAATTAATCACTGTAAATAATGTACTTGAAAGGTTAATAGAATAAGAGAATTATGTAAGAATTTTTATTGTATAATACAAAAAGTACTTTCATAGTTTTAATGATCAGGTAGACTTGTCTTATTAAGGTTTTCCATCCCTAATAGGAACTAATTCTCTATCCTTAAATATCAATCACGTATATAATACTCTGATATTAATTCAAAGAACTTTACAGTAGAAAAGGATTTACCAAGTGAAAGTTTCAAAAACGTAATTAACTAAGCAGTATTTAATTAATAGAAATTGCATTGAAGTCTATGGAGACAAGCGATTTTTTTAAAATAAAAATTCAGATAATAAGAATATCAATAACTACTGTGGTGGAAAGATCCACTATGTCTAAATCATTAGAAATAGAATGACAATTGAAAACAATTTTTTTACCGTATATTTTTTTAAAATTGATTTTTATTACTTAAAAAAAGAGGGAGATAACTCTTCAACAAAGATCAAGTCATAAATTAGGACACTTCCATTCTTACATGCTAATAGTAATAAATGTAGATTATGTCTAAATATACTGAGTATTCCACCTGTACACATCTTTTATGTATTCAAATTCATTGAATCTGAGGCTATTAGGGATGGAATACCAGTACATTAAATGTTCATCAAAGACCAAGAGTCTTACTCAGGCCAATGTAAGAGATTTCCACAAGGAATTAAAAGAATACAGAAGCACTGATAGTTTCTTAATATACTGTCTGGTGAGAGTGATAAATGGGGAACAGATTAGAACCTAATTTATGAACTGTTAATGAATACTAGACTAATTATTTTGTTAATCCCGATCACCCTATTTTTCTTGCTTTTGGGCAACAAAGCTTCACCTTTCATTTCATTTTATACTCTATGGATCCTCTAAATTGTTGTATTATACTCAGGTGACCGTTAAGGCCCTTTGGCCTCTTGTTTTTTAGAGTGAGGATATTTGATCTAGGGCCAAGGTCATAAAACTTACATGCGCTCATTTTTGATCTCAGTCTCACAATACATTCCTATTGTAAAAGTGAGACCAAGATCAAAAAATAAGTTCTCGTAAGTTTTATGGTCAAGAGCCTGATAACAAAAGACTAATCAAAGTTATATTTTGTGCTAAACTGATTAAAATTTAAACATGTCACTACCAATTACTCAAAATCATCACCGCTTTAAAAATCCCACCATATGGTATTTAGGTTTCTGAATTTGTATTTTTATAGGTTAAGTGGTATTGTCAGAGACTTTTCAATGCAGAAAAAAAAATGCTCATCAACAGTCCAATCCATTATGAAAAAATGTAATATTACAATTTTCCATTATATACATGATATAGTGTAAATAAGAGTTATCTCCCTCATATTGTAAAAAATAGACAGGTTGCTTGATCAAATTTGAATCTAGCTCACAGCAGGGCCAGTACTAATTCTTACTACACTGTATATGAAGAAGTAGAGTTGATACCTAAGGAGTATCATGTGTCTTAAGTTAAACCTATAAATGTAGCACTATGCAAGACTATCAGCTGGATAATCATTAGACAGGGCAGAAGTTACATTATGAAAGAATCATGATGGTTGCATGGAGCAAACAAAAAAGCAAAATTAGGGATGCCAGAGATGTATGAACAGTATCAAGTCAATAGGTACAATGTATGTAATCTTCAAAATATACAGGAAAAGTACTGCCAATCCCACAAAAATTTCTCTGTGGGAGATATATATAGACATTCATAATATGCATTGTGTCAATGCAAGTGAAAAAGTAAGTCATACTGTGGGATAATTTCAGACCCTGCACCTTGAAGTCAAATAAAAGAGAAATTTGGAACCAAAACAATTCATACATGTACCATGTAATAAAGCATTATAAGATTGAATTTAATTTTTGTCAAGCATTATCTGTATCATGTATATTACAGTTTCCATAATATAGACATTTTCCATTATACAGTTATACATGAATTATGAAAAAAATTGTAATGTAACATTTTTTTATTACAGAAAACTGTAATATTACAGTTTTTCAAAATGGACTGGACTGATCAAGGGTGACAATTTTGTGTCACAATTACATTTAACCACCAGACTACATTATCCTAAAATAACAAGACAGTATACGTCTTATAAATTAAAACAAGAACACACTGTTAATGTCTTTATTCCCCTACAGGTAATAGTTCTGCAGAATCGCAGAATCATTTTGTGCTTTATTCATTCGCAGACCATGTCAGAGAAAGACAATGCTTCGTGTCCGCCAAAGAAAAAGATGAAACCTGATGTAGCAGTTACAGCAATGGTACGTGTATGTCTGTCTTCAGAATAATTAACATTTTTGTTGAAGGGCATCATTATTAATGTGTGCATGGGTGTATATTTTTATTCATTTCTTAATTGTAAAGAAAAAAAAAATGGGGACTCTTACAAAGCCGTATCAGCCCTCACTGTACATAAAACCCACACACTCATGAGCTTGCATTGTTAAACATGCCTCAGAATTTACTATAATGTTGCAATTACTTGTAAGTTCATGACCCAAAATTCAGAGAGATTCCAATTATGTGTATAAAATTAAAAAGAAAAGTTTGGTACTTCAGAATATTTATTAAACAAAGATACTGACAATATCAAGTAAAATAGTTGGATCCCCATTTTTGAAAAGTTATGCCCCTTTGTTGCCATCTATGGGGGAAAACCCATATTATCCTCACATTAGCATTTGTGGTTTTGGGGATTTAACTTTGCCATTTGACTGGTAAAATTCTTTGTATCTTGTAATATGATTGCACCAGGATGGGACTACCCATATATTAAAAGATAAAAAAAATAAAGTTACAGTGGATTTATTAGAGCATGCTCAAAAGATTGGTAGCATAAAAAAGGGAAACATAGTTTCTTTTGCAATTAAACTTTTGGTTGACCCTGCAAAGGGACACAACTTTTGCAGAGTGTGGATTTGACTATTCCTTTTACCATTTTATTACATAAAGACCTGGGGCTATTTTCTAATATTCAGTTAATAACCTATTTCTAATAAAGATTTTAGATTTTCTATTCTCTTGTAAAAATCTGCCTTGTGGTACACTCTAAATGGCTCTCCGTCTGTCTGTCTAGCTGTAAGCTTTGTCTGGAAAATTAATGCATTTCATATCTCTCATTTCATTCTTGGTTAAAATTATTGCTACATTTTCACTTTTGGATGTTTTGACATACATCAAAACAAAATTATTAAATGCATTTCCATCCATGTCAATTACAGTGAAAGATGAAATTAAAGGGGAAAAAAACCCAACAAAAATAGATATATATTAATTTTATAAATAATTTAATTTTTTCAACAATGTTGAGTTATTTGTAAAATTGAGGTAAAACTACAGCCAGGATTTAGGTACATGTATTTCCATATAAAATGTGTTGTCCCCTTTATTTTCATTAACTTTAAAGAAACGACATAATTATGCACCCGTTTTTTTTATTACAGTAACTGTGCTGGTTTGAAAGTAAAAGTAAGATGTATATGTACCTCTGACAGTTAAAAGTGTCTAAAGATATACATTGTCAAGCTATGAATAATTACACAGTGCATCATTTGATGTTAAAACTTTGATATTAGTGCACAATTTCTTTGGTGGAAGATATTGGAGGAGACATATTGATTTTGTGACATGTGTAGAGCAACAGGGAATTGTACCCTCCCTCTTCCCCTTATCACTGAAAGAAAGGGAAAATGAAAGATTTATTGATATTATACTTTCAAGTAAATTAGTTGAGTCTGATGCGTCGAGAAACATTTGTTAAAAAACACTATTACCCGCTGAATGACGAAGCCACACCCTCCAGCATAGCAACAGTCAACATTGCTTGACGACGAGTGATATTCCAAAAAAAAGTGACTGCGAAGAATTTATACGCGCAAGGTTCACTGTTATATGTATTTGTATTAAACATTCAGTATATAATGAATATTGCATGTAGTTGAGTGTAACATTGAAAATTTTCACCCCTCGAACCATTGTCAACCTCAGCTGGGCCTAGGTTGAAAATGGTTTTCCTGGGGTGAAAATTTTCAATGTTACACTCAACTGCATGCAATATTTATATAATAATAAATTTTTTAAATTTGGTAGTCAAGGGAAAGTGACACTGCCTCATCACAAGGTACAGCATCTTCAAGATCTAACATTGGTGATCATAACTTATGGGCACAACACATAGGAGATCTTTTGGTGTATCTGGATAAGTCATTTAGATATGATGGAGTACTTGGCATTACCATTGATAAAACATGGGTATGTAAAAGATTTTATACCATTGATTGTCAGATAATATCACGGCTCTCACAACACTTTTTGGGACTGGGGCTGGGGCCGTTCAAATTGGGAAATTTTTTGTCATTTTGGGGAAAATTGGGAAAACCTGGCCCCAGGATCATGAAACACCTTAAGCATAAGTCAAAATCTTTATTTTATACTAAAATGTTGTAGAAGTCAAGCAGACCAAAATTAAAATAGTTGCTAATATTGCTTCCCAAAAGTGTTGTTTTCTGCAAATTTAGATATTAATTCAATAATAAATAAACATTTTACAACCGATTGAAAATTTGACTTAAATCTAAGACTGTTTCATGATCCTTGGTCCTGGTTCCTTACCAAAGTCGAACCATTTTATGAATATAGGTGGCATGCAATAATTTATACAGTCCATTATCACAGAACTAGTATGTTTCACTTGTTGGTGATTAATAAGTAATTTCGATTAAGATTTTTTAAAAAAATATTTGGGAAATTTACACTTTGCTTTTGGGAAAAGAGGTACCTTTTTTGCATTGGAAATGGGGTCGTTCATTGGCCCTAATTATAGAGAATTGAGAGCCGTGTGATATCGTTGTGACAGTCATTATATAATGGAGAAAGAGATTAGAAATTTGATATCATTAAATAGTCCAGTTCAGTTTTCCTTTGATTTTAGCTCACTTCAGCTGAAGACTCATGTGAGATTTTCTGATCAAAAAGTTTCTGTTGTCTGTCTGCCATGTGTTGTCTGTCGTATGGTCTCTAACCTTTCTAGTTTTAGACTTCTCCAGAATCATGGGGCTAATTTCAGCCAAACTTGAAAAAAAGCATCCTTGGGTGATGGGGGTAATAAGTTTGTTCACAAGAAGAGCCACATCCTCTTTCAAGGAGAGATTATTAAGAATAAGTTAAAAATTTAATGGCATCTTTTAAAATCTTCTTCTCAAGAACCACTGGGCCAGAAAAGATGAAACTAATATGTTAAAGCATCATTACATAGTGTAGATTCAAATTTGTTCAAATCATGACTCCCAGTTGTAGGATGGGGTTACAACAGGGGGTCAAAGTTATACATAGACATCTATAGAAAATGTCTTTAAAATTTTTCCTCTTAAAAAGAGAAAAGCCATGATCAGTCATACTAATAGAGGAGCATCCCCAAATAGTTTAGATTCCACTTTGTTCAAATCATGATCCGCAGAGGTACTGTGGGTCACAACAGGGGATCAAAGTTATACATAGGACAAGAAACCTTGTTGTAATGACATTCTAGGGATATAACCAGGTTTTCCCACTTTAAAATCCAACATGCTCACCAGTATGCTAGCAGAACCATCACTTCAAATTAAAAAAATGACAAATATCTAGATCTAGAGTTTGCAATTGGATTAATCAATTTTGAAAAAAGATATATGTATAATTAGAATTCTAATAAGAGTCTTTATTTACACTACTAATATCAAATTTAAGAAAAAAAGAAGTTGAAAATTTCAACTTTTAAAATTCACCTCCTTTGAGGACTGAAAGTAGTAACTACACAATAAAAGGTTATGACTGCACATCTACATGTAATGACCTACCATGTCATTGAGTTTCATACGTATATATTTTGCTAATCTTAAGAAATATCACTGAAGAAAATTAATCTAAAAATTAGAAAATTGTCAATAACATTGAACTAGGATTGAATTTTTCATTTTTTTTTTATTATAGAGGATGCATCAATTTAATGTTTGTGATATCAACATATTTGTTGTATTACTTGGTCTACAGTATATGATTTTGTATTAAAACTACTCTTAAATAATGTTAGGGTCATACTTGGACATTGTTGCTCAGGTGAGCAGATGTGTCCAATGGGCTTCATGTAACTGTACTTTAATGTATATTATGTGTTTTCAGGTAAGATTTACATACCTTGAGGTTCCAAAAACAACCATGAAGAAAATTAAAGAAACACCTGCAAATAGACCTGGCTCTCTGAAGGTAGAGGAAGATGAACGTCCCTTATTTTTCTACAGTGAACCCTACAATTATCTGAGTAGAGAAGATAGAAAGATTATATTCAAAGCACTCATGCTTATAAAGAAGATGCAGTGTGGTTATGAGAAGATACAATGAATTGAGGCAAACAAGTTATGCCTTGACAGGTCCTAATTTTAATTTGAGTGAACTGTATATGTTGAGTACAAGTTGATGTTTACTCCTATGGCATATTAAGTACTGGTTCTTCCTATGTAAGTTTTTTTTTTTAATTTAAGAAAAATTGAAATTAAAATATGTTTTTCAGTTATATTTGTGTTATAATATTCCTGATATGAATTAAGGTTGAGAATCACAGCAATGCTAAATGCAGATATAACATCTTTTTATCTATAAAATCAGAAAAATGCTTGATATTAATGGGGGGAAAACATGCAGTGTCACAGAATCATGAAACTGGATTTAAATCAAAAATGTTTTGAATTTTGATTCATTCATATCCAGTTCACTTTATCAATTTGATATCATTGATATCGGAATGTTAATTGATACAATATCTTATGAACATTGTCTGCATCTTTTTCATTTCTGTGTATACATCTTCGACATCGCAATGTCAACAATGTTGATACAATATATATGTATATTTCTTTGTCATGGCAAAAATACAGGATATCGTGTTTATCATTATCATGTCTAAATTGTCAACATTACAATGTTGACAAAGTTGATACAATATCAAGTTCAAAGCATATGTATTTCTGTGTCAAAATATTTTGAACGTTGGTAACCAAACCAACAAAGAGGACAATGCAATGTTGATAATTTAAAAGTGTAAACTCATTTTCGTCGAACATTGTGATGCCGATAACGTAAATAATGTTAACATGATAAGATTTACTGCTGACATGATGTCAACTTGATGCAGTCCAACATTGTGATGTAGATGATGTGAAAGGTGTAAACAGAATAAGACACTTCAAAGTTGACACAATGTCAACTCGATGCTGACAAACATTGTGATGTTGCTAAAGTGAACTATCTAGATGAGATGAAACAGCTAGTTCAAGGTTGACATGATGTCGTCTATCAAAGAGTTACCAATGATGTTAACAGGAAACATGTAATAAGAGTGCCATATTCATAAAATTGTGTTGTAAAGTATGTGAGTGATGCTAGCAGGTTGAGATACCGCAATATTGACGATGTCTACTTGATATCCTAAAGCATGGCTAAGTTTTGGGGGTTATATAGGAATTGTCATGTCAATTTGTCTGTCCACCTGTATTTCTCTTATCTTTGGTCCCACACTCTACTAAACTCAAAATTGATTAATGAGTCATCAATATCAAATCATACAATAAAGTTCAGATCAAAAGATATGAAGTCGTTTTTAATGCAACATACATGATGATATCAAACAAATTGTAAATTGCTAATTAAAATATTGGAACTTTTCATTTCCTACACCTCATTTGATTTAATTAAATCTGGGAAAGGGCTTGAGAAATTTTAATAATTCAGACGATTTTATTGAATTTGCCATCGTGTTGAATTCCACACAAATACATGCAGAAAGGAGTTATCGAATACCCCCGGTATCTTGATGTCGACAGCTTTAATTTTGGAAAGATAAACGTCAAAACGTTTTGAAAATAAATACATTTTTTCTGGTGTTGATTGCATTGGGATTTGGATTCGGAAAAATTTTATAGAACAATTCTGATTTAAGGATAATAACACAAAACAAATAATTGATGCATGGATTGATATATATTTTTGAATGATTTTGGATAGAAGTTACATAAATAATAAATCCCTAAGATCTGAAGAAATCGTAAGTTTTCTTTGGTGCTTAAATATGCCACTTAGTGTCGTTTCTTTATAATTCTATACAAAACACTTATATTTTTAACATTATGAAAATCTTACAAAATTCTCCCACCTTACCTGGCAAACATTATTCAGGTTACCTATTTCAATATAAATCTATGAGAAACATTGCTGATTATGAAAAAAAATGTGTTATATATCCTTAAGGACAGATGATACAAAAAATAAAAATGGATAAAAATTGATCTGTCCTTAAATGATAATTTATTGTGGTATTTTATAACGATTGCTTGTTTGAACCCCCTAACCAACACCCTAAATTTTATCGAAGTATAAATAATCTTGTGGCATTTAATATAATGAATAAAATACCAACCAAAAACCACGGGCACTGGAAGTTAATGTAAATGTATATTGAGTTTGTGCATGTATAAAAAGGTCCTTTTTTATACATGCACATACTCAATATTTACATTAACTTCCAGTCTGAGCGGTGCACACAAATCTATTGTCGAATTTCGCCACTCATGGATAACACAGCGATAACAGAATCTTTCAGCACTTAAATTGCAGTTTAGGCAGTCTAACTTCTTGACAGTCCTTCATTCTTTTACTTTCAACCCAATACATCTCTGTTGTAGGAAAGGTAAGGACTCTGTCCATTTTTAAAGTGGATACCACACATGTTCCAGGGTTTTCAGAAAGCCCCCGAAAAGAAGCAAACTTAATAATTATCGGCAGTTTGACATTGTTAATATGTAAATTATCGGATACATATATCAATGATAACTGCCATTATTGTTCAGGTGTATGCAAGCTACCTGATCAATTGAACATGTAAAAATCGTGCATAATACATAAACCTGAACAGATACAAAGACACAGATGGTATAAATTCTATAACAGAGATCTTATAGGGGAAAAAATGAAATTCTCGGAGTAAAGAGAAATATCAAGCAGAAACTCGCAAAATTAGATGGCATCTAACCTTGCTTTATTGTCTGATTGGACGTCTCGTAACCACCCTTTTGCTATATATCCTGGGTGTTTTCAAAATTTATAAAATTCACTGGGATCTGTCCTTCTAGGCTAATCAGTATGTTTTGATAGTGTGGTTTTTACAGTTTGACTAGTCAATTTATACTTATTAGTCTATTTTTCGATAAAATCCCAGACTATTAATGATATAAATTCAAGTAATTTTCAAAGTTAATTTCTGGTTAAATGTTACTTTCAATATTGATGACAATTTCACATAATTGGAGTTTTAATAAATGACAATTTCACATAATTTGAGCACCAAGTCTTCAAAAGTTATGACCAAGGTTAAAGTTTTTTCAAAAGTAGGCAAAACTCCTAGGACAAGGACAAAGGGTCAAAATTGTTGGTACCCAAGGAAAAGTCTTGCACATATAAAATACTGTATGAAAGCCCTGGTACCAACCGTTCAAAAGTTATGGACAAAGGTTAAAGTTTATGTAAAGTGGGTTAAACTCCAAGGTCAAGGCAAGAGGTAAAAATATTTTAACGCAATGGAAGATCTTGTCACATGTGAAATATGAAAGCCATAGCTCCAACCAATCAAAAGTTATGACCAAAGTTAAAATTTAAAAACTCATGAATCAAGTTTTCTTGTAGAATATATTAATTATAACATAAAATCTTGAACAAGTAATCATTTACCTCTTGTGTAGTCTTTTGACATATCTAACCTCTAAATAAACTGCTAATGCTTTTAAGTCTAAACATGTGCTATGCGTCCGAAAATAGAAACATACTTCCTATATGTTTACTTTTGCTACAGAATAAAGTGGGATGAACAATTTAAATGTCCTACCATACCTATAATATAAAATAAAAATGTCGATAACTGCTTATTCAAATTGTCACATTCTGTATACACGGATATTGTCAAGGTCTCTCATAACTGTTTTTGTTCTGAATGTTTAATTCTGCCAGTCATCGCGATTACAAGAAAAATGTAAGCGATCGGAACATGCTTTCCTGGAAAATCCATTTCTTGTGTATGAGTTTCTTGTTTCAGTGTCGGATGTACATTTTCCCCTACTTTCATATCTCCACTTCAGATATATCTTTTACCTCAAATAACGATAAGTGAAATATGTTCTATGATGCTTTATAAAAAGAATTTCTTTTTGTAATTGTACACTCTAAGCTGCTTTACGATCATAATCAGATTTTTAGCTCAAATTGAAGAAAATGGAGGGAGAAGTTTTCCGAGATTGCTTTGCCCTACATAGATTATTAACAATACATCCTTAGTACTTTAGCAAATTATCAGAATACAGAATAAGTATTCTGTAACTACCTTGCATGAAAGATTTGTCCTAACACGCCGATGATAAAAAAAAAAATGAGGTAATACTCGATCACTTACAGGTGTAAAATGTGTATCTCATATCAAAGGTCAAATTACTGTTTAATTTAGAATAGTTCCTTGCCAGTCTAATTAATGAACATTTTTAAATTATCGTAGATAAAAGCATAGACGGAATTTCTGAAATAGATTTCTTATTTTGTTATGTAAACTAATATATCCAAAACTAAAAAAAAAAAAAAAATAAATTCTTGGAATACAAGAAATAGACTCAATAATTGCATTGTTATTTGTACCATGTACAGTATCAAAAGGTTATCATAAATAGGATGGCTATTTTTTAACTGATTTTGAAAATAATATGACTTATTATGATTCTTTCATCATCATCCAAGTGTTTCTAAGTTGATTTATATAGTAAAAGTGATACATGTAATATAATCAAGCCTGAATCTATTCTAGCAAACATGTCAATGGCTCTTTAAATGTTGAAATTGTTCTTACATTTTGTTCTGATGAAATCCTAATTTTGAAAAGAACCGCCCTACAACTTTTTTTAGCCAATGAAAAGTCATGATCAAAAGTAGAAATAACGATTTGGGGGAAAATACACAAGGAAGCTTAAATGCAGTTCGGCCTTTTATCTAAAAATCTGCACATTGAGTGGGTGCTAGTGCAGATGACCTCTGTCCTGAAAAGAAAAAAAAATGGAAACTATTCAATTCATGAAGTAGGTGTAAATTCTGTGAAAATATATTTAATCTATGACTGTATATTCAGGGTCATATAGTTTAATGTTCACATAGGATGTATTTATTGAAATAGAAGAGCATATAAGTTAAAAGGGGAAGATAACAAACAGTGATCGATGTAATGGTTAAATATACTGAAACGCAAAAGAAACGCAACAAGCAATAATCTACAAATATTTGAATGTTTTATCTAATGATTTTTAAAAATGAATACAGTAAGGTAAAACTCGATTTAAAAGCATCAAAGATTTGATAAAATGTTAAATGATTGTCTTTTAACTTTAGAAAGTAACAAATGACTGTTAAAACACCCCCCCCCCCCCGGCCAT